GTAAAAATCTTCATAACTTGTTTATTTGAGGATTAGTCCATTTGCTTTATTTAGCCAATCCGAATTTTTATGTATTTGAAAATTTTAAATTTATTTATTGCACTTATTTTCTTTCATTCTATATTATGACAAGTCATCAATCCATGTAAATAATGTTTTATTAGCTCTTAAGAATTTTCAAACTTTTTTTCGGATTGGAAAAAGTCTATAAACAGAATTTTTTTTTTAATTCATTAAATAGAAATTATTATTGCTTGTACAAAAATATGTGGTAAAGCTTAGTGGCTTGTATCTTTGGTGAAGTTTGATGGCTGATCTCTAGAATTTTGGTGAATCCTTGGTTATCCTTTTTGTTCTTATTCATTTTTTTTGACATAATTTTTATCTCCTTTACATATTCTCGAGCATTGCTTTCCTCAACCTCAAAACACAATAAAACTATTTTAAATTCTCTTAAATATTCCTCACACCCCTCATTATTTTTCTAGGCCTCAACTCTCCAATAACCTTCAGATACCCTGGCCAAAATTTCGGAATGATAGAAGCGAATGTATTTGGCCTGGAATGAAAATTTAAAGGTTAATAAATAATATACTTTTTTTCATACAAATAGCTACATAGTCAATTGTTGGCTCTCAAGCAAAAAATTATGCATTTAACTGACTACATGAAAACTTATGAGTCCCTCATATCAAAGGACAAACAGCACTGTGGGCTCCGAAAATTTTGGCAGAGGATTTCGGTAGGGAATCGTGGCAGAATTCGCGGATCCGTCGGGCACAAGGTATGTATGCGGGATTTTCGTTTTGTTTTCTCCTCTCTTTTGTTTGGTTTATACAGAGGTTAACAAGCACTGACCTTGATTAGCATCTCATCAATAAATTTATCATTTGGCTTTGCCCTGAAATTAGGAATGAAGTAGAATTATATGATCTTCAAAATTTAGAAGATGCTTTTCATTTTGCCATGATAATTGAGAAACAAAAGAAAGTAATCCCCTCTTGAAATTTTAAGAACTTAATCTTAATCAACATCCACATCTAGATTTACTGTTAGACCATCGGCCTTGAGTCCACTACCTAATCAGTACTCACCGGCAGTGGCAAGCAAGAAAGAGCTTGCGTTAAAAGTGAACTCGAGTTTATATCTTTTTCAATTAAAATTATATATTTTGTCTATAATGCTATCACAGTTTTGCACCAATTCTAATAAATTTTAGTAGCATGATTCATTGAGTGAAAGCCATATATTTAGACATAAAAAAATATCTGAAGATCATTAAAACATATTAGTATATAGACTTCAAATTATTTTAAAATTACCTCATTTTTAGCCTCTTTATCATAAATCTTTTTAATAGTTATGACATAATAATCAAATTGTTATTTGGATGAGCAATCCCAAGAATCAACAACAACAATGATTTTATTTTTTTTTTCAGAAGATTCTCAAGTTGTCCGTCTTAAATAGAAATCTGAGGAATTCTAGTATCTTTAGACATACAAAAAGCATGGGGTACGCTATATTATCTACAGATAGTGACATTGGATTCAAGTACTAACAGTAATTGCAAAAAAGTTAATTAAACTAAAGATCATAGCATGAATAAGGACCAAAGTCTCATGTAATGTGAATTATATTAAAAACTAAAAGTATTATTCATCTAAAAAATAAGAAAAGCCAGATATATACAAAAACAACATAGCATTGAATAATTCAACATAATGTCAACATTACCCAAAAGGGACATTCATATTGCCCTCACGAAAGCGAAACACTAGATTAGTCTGCACACTAGGCGATAAGACACAAATTGAGACACATTAGGACTGAGAAATTATGTGAGAAAATGATTCATTTTCAAACAATCTATTGTCAATAAGGATATGTTACGTGTCTTCAAACCAGTAATTTTACCACTAAATAACACCACAAATAAATGGTTATAATCAGAGTCTTTGATATGTTGTGTCTTCCAACCCCTAAACTATTACAATTAAATTATCATAATAGCCAAAGCCCGCAAGTTCTCCATCGGTTAAAAAATCCTTGGATAATAAATTATATGATAAACTTGATTAAGCATAAAGTTTCGTGTTAGCTAAGATTGGCTTGAATTTATTCCGTTAGACAAACGTCTACCACAAGTCTAAAATGTTCCCTTAGATAAAATAATCTATGAAGGATTCTTTGATCATATTGGGTTGACTAACTCTTCTGACTTAGTAGACCAGAGTTCATGGTAACCTGGGAAGACAAAACCATAGTGTCTTGATTGGAATTGGTATCATTCTCTCCACCTTCCGTTTTTAATGTAAGGTGGTAAATTTTCAACCCTGTATTAAATTTGTTGTTGCTGTACTTGAAACCCTGATTGTCTATCCAACAACTACCCTTAATCAAAAGTTTTTTCTCGTTATCGGGAAAGGTAATTAATCATAGGTGTTTGTGCCTATAGAAAACCTCGAAGCATATCATAAAACCCTAACAAAAATGACGTAAAATTTGTGCACTATCTTATCTGCAATATAATTTGTGATGTATAATGGATATGTGAGTGGGGGAAATTTGAATTAATTAATTCCCATCATGTGATATCCAATTAGCGAATTATTTAATGGATGGAAATTAATTGGAGAGGAAATATGGAAAGGGGAGGGAGATTGGAGAGAGAGGGGGCGGAGGATAGGTGAAGGGGGCCAGCGGTTTGTAAAAGGGAGAGGGGGAATTGGGGAAAGCTTTAGTTACTTGCCTCTTTGGGAATCCCAACTTAAGGAAAGGAAATTAATTCCAATCTAATTTATTTGTTAATTTGAATTAGATTGGAGGAATTTCCTAAAATAGAATCCTATTTAAAAAACAATTCAAATTTGGATTGGGGGAATTGAAAGGAAATATTTCCCAACTTAATTTTGCAAGAAAAGGAAGGGAATAAAGGAGGGAGTTTAATGAGGCATTCAAAGCTTTCCTAAATTAATAAATTAAATTTGAAATGTAAGGTTTCATCCCAATTTAATTCGAAATTTAAATTGGCTATGAATTAGTAAGTTTCCTAAAATAGGATTTATAAATTAGACAACTATTTAAATTCAAATAATTTGAATTTGATCATTAAGATAGGTATCTAAAATATGAAAACTAATTTAGTAAAGACTTGATGGCAAGTGGAGATGGGAGGAAACCAAGGGGAGGGCCGGCGGCTTGTGGCTTGGCCATGAGTGGTGGTGGAGCTAAGGCCGATTTCGTGGAAGTAGGGAGAGGATGAAGATGGCGACTAGGAACAACAAGAAGGAATAAAAACAAAGAAACAAAGATAAAAGATAAAACTGCGAGCCTTGGACTCTTCCGAAGGCTGAGGGTGATACGTTGTCCTTCTCCAAGGAACTTCAAGCCACGAGTCTGGACCCATCTTGCGGCTGGTGAAAACTCCGATTCCTTCTCATAGGATTCTCACTAATGTACTCCCAAAAGAACACAAGTGCAGAATATAAATTTTATTATAATTCCATCATGCCTAATACAAGAGAGGGGGCCTCTATATATAGGCCTCAAAAGAAATTAAAAGACACATTTGCCCCTTGGGCTTACATAAGACAAGACTCTTAAATAAAATGGTAAAAATGGAAAATGACAAAATTAAATCAAAATACAATTAATAAACTAAAATAAAACGGAGTGATCTCGGCTGTCGATCTTCGACTCTTCCTGTGAATATCGTCCATCGTCGGATGTCCGTATCAATTTGCCTTTTGAAAATTCACCCGAAACTATAAAAAACTCTCTTAGCAGAGGCCGGGCGTCAGTGCAAGTTTTAGAATCTCACAATTGAATGAACATGAATTGTAATATTTCGAAATAATTGTTCTTTCAGCCAATACAAGGCATATTTGACGAATCTTTCTTGAGTCCAACAGCCTGCACGTGCTATTGCCCATGCATCTAATTATCCTACCTACAAGTGTTCATTGCTTACTCGGCTGCACTTGTGCGCAACTGTATTGTTGGGCCCTGCACCAGTTTGCGCAAAAATACCAGCTCATTGTGAGGGGAGTTCTCCATAAAGATGGCCAGATCTTAAGACTACAGACTTGGTTTCTATTGATTTGTTCGATTCAATAGAGGATGCTCTTTGAGGTAAACATAATATTTAAATCTTGGAGACCAATTGGGCTACTTTTAAGATTATTTTCAAGTAAGACCTTAAGTGTCAGTATACTATGTAACTTGTTTTATATGTGAAATGATTACCATGAAACTGTGCTTAATGATATGAAATGTAATCATAAATTGATTTTCTTCATCAAAATACATGATTTTGTTAATCATAATTCATCTTTAAAAAATCTAAATAATCTCAATTTCACTAGGAATACATGTGAAACACCCTTTAGTTAATAAAGCAGTTAAGTTTCGAAATACTGACAGTTAAAACTAGGACTGAAGTTAGAAGCAAAACTGAAGAGCAATATGGCAAAATCTGAAAAAGGTTGTTAATATTTTATAAGATATATGCACTTCTTTGTTAGATCAATGCATTTAATCCAAGCAGATCTTGACATAACGTTTGTGTCGTATGCATGTAAAACACCTCTTAGTTGATTTCAATGCAGTGAAGTTTTCAAAATATTGAAATCGCTTAGAACTAAGACTGAAGTTAGAATCAAAACTGAAAAGAAATCTGGCAAAATCAAAACTCTTTGCCAGAATCTTATAGTTAAACAAGTGGTTAGTATTTTATAGGATGTGTACTTCCTTCAGCAGGTTGAGTAACCCTTCATCAAGCATTAAGCTTTGCTTCTCATCTAGGAGTATTATTAGAATACTTGAACGTTGTGTCAAGATCTGCTTAAATTATACGCATTGATGAATTTTTCAATATTCGTGCTACCAAATTGATCCTATGTTCCGACCATGCATCTTCAACTCTCATTTAAATGCTTCTTGAAGTATTGACTTGCAAGCATTGTGATTGAGGATTAACATGTCGTTTCATTTGTCAGAAGCTTGCTGGTCAAAACTTACAAAGAACATCGTCTCTTGCATCAATGAACTCCCAACTCTCTGGGGTAACTCAGAACGGGCAGTCAACCATGATGCCAGGCACTATTTCACAACAACAGTGGTTAAAGCAAATGCAATCAGGGGCACCCTCTGCAGTGTCGCCTTCATATCATATTCAACCACAGCAGCAGAGCCAGTTGCCTCAGCAACTTTCCTCTCAGCTTCATCAAAAATCCTTGAGCCTGAATCAACAGCAAATTTCTCAACTGGTACAGCAGCAAGCACAGCTTCGTACTCCACATCAACATCAGGCACAGTTGCTTCAACAACAGCAACAGCTGCAACAACTTCAGCAACTTCACCAGCAGCAGCAATCTCCAAGGATGTCAGGCTTGACAGTTTCAAAATCTTTGACAGGATTGCAGCCAGATACAGCTAGTTCTGGCACCATCATGACTGGTGGAAGTTCCAGCCAAGGGACAGAAGCAAGCAGCCAAATTCTTGGGAAGAGAAAATTACAAGATTTGGTTTCACAGGTACACCAAGTTCTAAGGTTCTGTTTACTTTCTTTTTGTGAGGCTTTGCATCTGTATCTGAAGAGTATGCTACTTCGATAATTTACGTTATATCTCTGAATTTTTATGTTGATATTCTTATGTATTATAGTGGGTGGTGATGGAGTTTCTGGCGTGTATTACTAGTTGTAATTATTTGATGTTGCGAAAGGAAAGTTGCAGTCAAATTTAAACTATAAATGTTGATATAAACATGCTGGGCAATATGATTGGTTATAGGTCAATTGGAGATCTAACTTTCAGCTATTTCCTTTGGATTTCTTTTAGTGTTATCTTTTTTCGTTCTTCTGCAATAATATTATTTGCATGCATCTTAGTCAAGATGTGAGGGAAGATGAAAATAAAAGTGAAACAAAGCGAGGACAATGAAGGAATCAATTCCTCCCGTTATTATTTCTTGTGTAGTCGGCCATCCTTTTTCCATAAGAAATGAAATAAATTATTCTCAATCAATTACAAAGAAAGAAAGAAATAGCTCTGCACTAATATACTTTCTTGATTTTGTAAATAAGGAAGGAAACTATTTATACACTTGATTTTATAGATTTCATACATGTGGAAGTTCTACACCTCAAACTTATATCCCCTGGATCTTATCCTAGGTTTGTCACCATGGATCCTTGGATTATTGACAATTTCCACTCAAACACCTCCTCAAACTGGATAATATATATTTTCCATTCCCGGCTAGTAATTAATTTCTTGAACGAATCAGGGGAAGCTTCTAATTGAAACCCGACTACTTCTAATAAAAGCAGTAAGATCCACTTAAATGTAAAATTACATGTCTGCTACTAAAACCCCACTAAACTAAAATTCCGTTAACCTAAAGTTCAACCGACAACTTCTAATAGAGGTCCTAAGTCCTACTTTAATTAATACATTAGGGGAAAATCGTAGGTAAAGTGAGACCAAACCCCAAACCCAAACATTTGGGTCACTTCCAAGAGAAGCTATAAAACCCGCTTTACGGGCTACTTTCAGTGAAAGCCGTAACCCCCGACCCAAATCCAAACCCACATGCTACTTCTAATAAAAGTCGTAAGACCCGCTACACAGGCTACTTCTAAGTGAAATTGTAAGGCCTGCTACACAGGTTACTTTCAATGAAAACTGTAAGCCCCGACCCAAATCTAAACCACAGGAAACTCCTAAACGGGGCCTTAAGACCTAATCTAAGTCTAAACTACATGCAACTCATAAATAGGGTTGTAAGATCTAACCTAAATCTAAACTACAGGCAAGTCCAAACCAAATCAACCTACATTTATCCACTTTAGTTTACTCGAGATCCTTGAAAAGAGGCGACCCATGGCTGCTAATCAGAATCCCTAGACACTACAATCAACGGTTGTTAGTGTTGGTAGACAGAAATCTACGGTATACCCGGGATGACATAATCATGGGATATTGGTCGGGTTTATTTCCATCCCCCACAACCAAAATTTGAAACTGCTGCATGCCTAAACGTTGATTCATCCTTAATCGAGAGTAGGAGGGGTAATTAACTATAATGGCTTGCACTCATAGGAAATAGAACCTCATAACTAAATAAACCCTTATGCCAATCACTAGGGGAAATCTGGTAAATTTTAAAATTCCAATCTACCTCGGGAAAAAATGGGACCTAAAGCTTGCGAAAGCGGGGTTTGTGCCGTAGCGCCGTTTTTTCCTGAGCGAACATAGATATAAAAAAGTTGCCAAATATTTTTGATAGAAAAAATTTATAATACCCAACATAACTACAAAAAAATCTAGTGTTCTCGCGACAGTTTTAGAATCTGTAGCAGCTCAAATTTACCCTTGAATGTACCACCATATTTTGCTTCTTACTTATGCATATAATGAATTCACCTTTGATGAAGTTAACAGTAATCAGTTGTTGACCTATCCTTAGTGGATCTATCATTATCGATTTCTGTATAGATATTGGCTAAGTTTTACTTTTTCTGGTTTGGCCTTTAGATAATAATGATTTTTTGAACAAGTTATAAGTGTTTCCCCTTTGGATCATGTGTGAATTGATTTATTATACCTATCATATAGCAAAATTCAACCTTTTATGGAATAAGTAAATCAATATCCCAACCAATCTTTAGCATCTTTCTCAGTCTACACAACTATCAATTGTTCTTCATCTATTGAGTTTAATAGGGGACCCAAAAACCTTGTTGCCTAGAGAATTGGTACTTTTAAGAGATCCGACACATATTTCTATTGAGAAATTCATACGCCTTATTTGGAATATGTTACTGCGATCCTCAATAAATATTTTAGCCTCTTAAGTTCCTTGATCTTATAAGATTTATCTCAAGGGGTTCTTTTTCAGCTATTATTTTATACTATAATAATGCAATCAACATATGTTGATATAACAAGAAGTTCTCCTTATACCAATGTTTTAGAAAAGAGAGTATGATTCACTTGATTTTCCTTGTATCTCACTGTTAGCGTGGATTTTTTGAATTTCCCAAACCATGCTTTAGGGAAGTGCTTTATCTCATATATTGCTTTTTAGCTTGCATGCTTTAGAGCCACTCGGTATTCCCTAATTTTAAATTCATAGCATATGCCAAATGAGGCGGTAAAGGAGTTTGAGAAGATCTCTGAGTTTGTCAATTTCTTGCTTCTCAAGGCTTCCATCTTTTTCGGAGTCCAATATTTCATGGGAGAGCCCATTACCATTAATAATTTTGGCTTTATTTTGTCCATGAAATACTCCATTTTGACTGAGCACATTGGATTTCCTATAAAGCTTGAAGTAGTTCTCCCTCTAATGTTGTGTTTTTTTTTTAATATGCACACTAGATTCATTCTCGTTTTTGCAACTTGGTATACCATTATTATTTTTACTTTGTGCATGATTTGTCATTTTATCCTCATAATCTTTGAGCTTTGCAATCATCATGTCCGAGACATTTTCTCTGGGAGTTGAGCATTACATTCCTACTTTCCTCCGCATGAATTCAAATAGAAGTTTTATAGAAAGATAGTAGAGCCTCTTCTTTCAGCACTTATATTCAAATCTAATTAAGTTCAACTTGTAGACCGACCATGAATTCAAAGATATTCTTCCTTTCTACAAACTTCTTTAGCATTTGGCATCATCATTTTACTTCATCTTGATATTTTGTTAGTGATCTGTATAAGCCAAAAACTTTTCATTAGATTATATTATTCCGTAACAGAATGCATACCTTATTTTGTTGCTGATTTTCTTATATTGATTTTGTAAATCCTGGTAGCATCTTGAGTCTGGAAATTGGTTTGATGAATGTTTTCCCATATTTTTGAGGCTGTAGCAAGGAATATGCAATTTATATTGATTTATAACCGTACAGAGTTCCATTGCCTGATTATGGAGACTTCCTCATCTCAAATATGGAACTTTGAATCTTCTGGATCTGGCTCATTTTTAAGTACAATGACTTAGCTTTTCTCTCCCCTTAAGAAATATCTTCACAATTTGTGAGCATTAGAGATACTTTCTTACATTCAATTGATATGCAGGTTAATATTTATCAAACTTCCCAGTTGATGAATGCTAGGTATATTCAACGATGATTCTTGAACTACCCAATTGATTTTTAGAATTTTGAGACATTTCAAGGAAGAAGAAACAAAGATAAGTAGGATTTCAGTCCTTGGAAGACCCCGATCCTGGATCTAGAGCAATAATGAAGGTTGTAAGATAAATCAACAATGAATGATGATGATCTTAATCAGAGACCATGTATACCATGAGAGGAAAAAGTGTTGTTGCTCTTAGTAAACAAAGAGAGGCCGAAATCAGCAGGAAGGTAGTAGAAAAAATAAACTACTGTTGGTATATCAGCAGATCAACCACCAACGAACCGGAAAATTTCAACTGAAAGAACGGCAATAGTGTTACAATAGAGAAACTGAATAAATCCAACGCACAACAACACAGGCATGTCAGAAGTATTTGATCTAAAAAAAAACCTCCTACGATACAATTTTGAAATAAAAAAAATAAATAAATGTGGAACTAAGTTTGGAGAATGAAGGAATGAATTTCATCTTGTATTTCATTGTACATAGCTGGCCACTCTTCTACCATTGTTTACACAAGGAGGAAACTGTAAGAATTGAAAGCATTTCTCCTAATAATATACATTCCTGATTTAAAAAGTAAATGAAGGAAACTAAGTATATACCAGATTTCAGATTTCACACATGGGATTTCCACACAGAAAACCTGGATCCCTTCACCATGGATCCTTGGGTTGCCCATAGGTTCACAAGATTATGTAGGAAGTCAAACAAAAGGTGGTCGTCAGTTGCTCATTATGGTCCTATTCATTAGCATGCATAACTTCTTTTTAATCTTTTTAATCTTTTTAATATGTATAGACTATAGTAGCTTACAGTGCATATTTGTAACTTTGTATCCAAATGATGCTAAGTTTCATTGTAATTCTCCTTATGTTTGTCCATTAGAGGAAAACGTTATGCTTTACAATTTTTTCTTTGATAAAGAGCATGCCAACTCTTGGAATGATGACTTTTAATCTTTTATCAATATTGCAGGTTGATGCATTGGGTAAGTTGGATCCTGAAGTAGAAGATCTTCTGTTGGAGATAGCGGATGATTTCATTGATTCGGTGTGTGCTCATCTTTTTTCATCGGATTCAATAGTTATTACATGAACTTAACATTTATGTATGATAATGCCGCCCTGCCGCCCCCCCCCCACGCCCGACACCACACACACACAATACTTACATTCCTTGTTACTTTACAGGCTGCCCTAAATGATTTATTTCTTTCATTCATCTATTGTGGGCAAAGAAACTAATTTGTGAAATTAGAATTATGATAAGAACGTGAAATACAGGTTCTCTTACAGGTAAATTAATGAAATTAATAGATATTATGATATATGAGAAGATAAATATTTTATGCATTCAAAAAACTAATGGGTTGGAGAGAAGGCTAAGAAGATTAGTTTAGAATTTAAATTATAATATTATGGTAGGAGTCGTACTAAAAATGATGTAGGCGTGATTATTAATAAGAGTTTGAAGAATAATATTATAAAAATTAATATAATTGAATATAGAATTATTGCTTTAAAGAGTGTTGTTGATGCTAAAATTATTAATATTATAGATACTTATACTATTATAAATACTTATGCTACTCAAATAAGTTGGGATATGTGTTTAAAATTAAAAATTTAGAAAGACTTTGAAGAATTAATATAAAATATATATCTTGAAGAAAATTTTTATTGGAGCAGGTTTAAATTGACATGTTGGTAGAGAGGTAGATGATTTTAAAAGCATTCATGGGTCGCTATGGGTTTGGAGCGATTAATGAAAATGGTAAGAGCATATTAGATTTTGCTATAACTTATAATTTTGTAATTGCTAAATCTTATTTAAGAAAAGTGATGAGTATCTCATCACTTATAAGAATGCTTATAATAAAATTCAGATGGATTATTTTCTTATAAAAAATAGATTATTTTGATTGCAAAGATTGTAAAGTTATTTCGGTTGAAAGTTTATATAACCAGTATCATTTATTAGTTTTTGACTTTAAGATGAAGGGACAAAATCTAAAAAATAAAATAGATATTATTCTAGGATTAGATGAGAGCATTTAAAGAACATTAAAAAAAAATTTTTGAGAGTAAAATTTTAGATATTAAGATTTTGTCTGTGCATGAGGAAGCTAATGTAATGTGAGAAAAAGTAACTAGTTATTTTAAGAATGTTGCAAAGGATTTGCTTGGAGTATCAAAAAGAGAAGTTTCTAATAGTAAAAATAATTATTGGTGGAATCAAAATGTGCAAGAAATGATAAAAAATATGAAGCTTTTGCAATATGCGATGCAAAAATTTTGGTTTTTAATTATTTATATAATAGATTAGATACTAAGAAGGGCAAAAGATATATCTATAAGTTAACCAAGAAAAAAGATAAGAGTAATAGTTTAGTTCAACTGAATTGCATTAATGATGAAGATCAAAAAGTGTTTTTATTAGAAGAGTATATTCAACAAAGATGTATGAGATATTTTTCTAAGCTTTTCAATGAAGACTGTGAGAATAAGTTCGACTTTAGTGACCTAAACACTCTAAATGAAAATAGAGATTTTTATTTTTATCAGTGTATTAGTAAAACCAAAGTTAGACTTTAAAGAAAATGAAGTGTGAAAAAGTTGTTAGACTTAATGATATTCCAATAGAGGTGTGAAAATGCTTAGGAGATGAAGTAATTTATTGATTTACTAAACTTTTTAAGATTATTTTGAAGAATAAAAAGATGTTAGATGAGGGGAGTATGAGTGTGTTGATTCCATTTTTAAGAATAAAGGTGATGCATAAGATTGTGCGAATTATAGAGGAATTAAGCTGATGTGTCATACTTTAAAACTATGGGAGAGCTATTAAGTATAGGTTACGATGTGATACTAATATTTCTCAAAATCAATTTGGATTTATGCTGGGTAGGTTTACTATGGAAGCTATACATTTATTGAGAAGTTTGTGTTGGACCGGTCTAGCCGGCCCCGTATGGACCGAATCATGCGAAACATGCATATGTTTTCCGCCTTTCTGTGCTGCCGACCGAACCGCAAATCCTACATAGCAATTTAGGAAGGATTCTTGAGGGAGTTAGGAGGAAAAATTGAATGTAGGGATTGTTTAGAGATTTTCTTTTGAATTGTATGTATTAAATTGTTTGTTTTCCTAGGGCTAGGGCATCTTGAATTTGGCTAAAATTTGAGATCTCCTAGATTTAGGTTTTTCTTTGGGCTCTAGCGACATCTAGAGATTGGGAGACATCGATCCTCCTCTCGAATAGAGGATCAATTTTATCTTGGTATTTTCTGCTTCCTTTTCATCAAGTAATACAAATTATCTACTGTTTTCGTGATTTTGTTTAGATTTTTGTGGAGAAATCTTGCTGCTTTCTTAAGATGAATAGGAAAAACTTGAGATTTATAAGTGTTTCCTATTAAATTGGTATTAGAGCACGTCGATCGAAGGGGAACCAATGGTTGGAAGGAAAGTGGAAGTTTTGGAGGGAGAACTTGGGCAACTCCGCAGCTCAAAGCAAATTTTGAGGAGAAGATTGCTGATTTTCAAAATCAAATTGCATCCGTCAATGAAATGATGGAGGAAAAGTTCGTTGTGGTTGAAGACATGTTGAGGAAATTGCTTGTAGCCAAAAGAAAACTGGTGACATCGGAAGCTAAGGAAACTACCAGCAAGGCAACAACCATGGAAGAGATGAGAACCCTAACATGTTTAGGGGATGGGAATATCCAGAAGTGGAGATCATGGAGGGAGAATACAGAATGCCACCTCTAGACCCACTTTCTAGGGAGGAGGTGAGCATTGGCTACACAAGAAGGGGTGCTGAATTTGTAAGGAAGGGGGATGATTTTGATCGCTAGGGTGCTGATTTTGAAAGAAGAATAGGGGATTATGATGAAGGGTTTGTGTATGATCGTCGGAGGGAAGATCGTGACAATTGGGGAGCACCTCCTCTTCGAGGAATGGGGGGTTATGGAAGATTTAGGGGAAATGGGTGTGTGACCCGAGGGTGAGGAAACTGAAGATGCCAATCTTTGAGGGGGAGGATGCGCACAGGTGGATCTACAAGGTATAAAGATATTTTGCCGTCAATGGGTTGACAGAGGAGGAGAGACTGACGGCTGCAGGCTTATGTTTGGAAGGGAAGAGATTGTCTTGGTATCAGTGGAGGGACATGCGACGACCCATATGGAGTTGGAGAGAGCTCAAGGATTGTTTGGTAGAACATTTCCGAACTGGTAGGGGAGAAGACTTCTACGAGCAGTTCTTCGCCTTGACACAAGAGGGTTTAGTGACGGAGTACTGGGAGAGATTCGAGTACCTTGCTAGCCGATTGTATTGCCTTCCTGAGACAGTGTTAGAGGAAAATTTTATGAAGGGACTTACATCAGAGATTTGGGCAGCGGTTAGAGTAATGAGGCATCGTGACTTGGGAGAGGCTATGGAACTAGCTAACTTGGTGGAGGATCAGAGGCACCATGAGAGAGAAACTGGAGGCATTAGCTCAGTAGGCTCGTACACGATGACCACCACCTTTTTAGTACTCAAGGAGCCAACACCGGATACTCTTAGAGAGACTTTGAAGGAGAAGACTACCGGAGGAAGACCTGGGGACAATTTCAAGAAGCTCACAGAAACAAAATTACAGGAGAAGAGGGCGAATGGGATCTGTTTCAGATGTGACGAGAGGTATACGCCGGGGCATATGTGTAAGGATCGAACTCTTCAGGTTCTTACCGTTTGCGATGAAGAAGGAATGGAGGGGTGTCGTCTTTCCACCTTGCGGACAAGGTAGATCTTTGGGAGGGGAGTATTGTTAGACCGGTCATTTGGACAGGTCTAGCCGGTTCCATATGGACCGGATCATGTGAAACAGGCAGACGTTTCCCGCCTGTCTGTGTTGTCGACCGAACCGTAAATCCCACGGAGCAATTTAGGAAGGATTTTTTAGGGAGTTAGGAGGGAAATTTGAATGTAGGGATTGTTTAGAGATTTCCTTTTTAACTGTATGTATTAAATAATTTGTTTTCCTAGGACTAGTACATCTTGAATTTGGCTGAAATTTGAGATCTAGATATAGGTTTTCCTTTGGGCTCTAGTGGCATCTAGAGATTGGGAGAGATCAATCCTCCTCTCGAATAGAGGATCAATTGTATCTTGTTATTTTTCGCTTCCTTTTCATCAAATAATACAAATAATCTATTATTTTCATGTTTTTGTGTGGATTTTTGTGGAGAAATCTCGCTGTTTTCTGAAGATTGATACGAAAAACTTGAGATCTACAAGTGTTTCCTATCAGTTTGTTGGAGAAGTATAGAGAGCATAACTAGGATCTGCATATAATATTTATTAATTTAGAGAAAGCATATGATAAAGTTCCAAGAGAAGTGCTATGGAGAGTTCTAGAAAAAGAAAGGGGCTAATAATGCTTATATTGAAGTTATTGAGGATATGTATGCAAGAACTACTACTTGTGTTCAAACACAAGATGGGTTGACCAAATATTTTGCTATTTGAAATGGATTACATCATGGATCAGCCTTAAGCCCATATCTTTTTGCTCTAGTCATGAATGTTCTCACTAGACATTTGCAAGAGGTTGTGCTTTGGTATTTGCTTTTTGTTGATGATATTTTTCTTGTTGATAGGACTAGAGAGGGAGTCAAAGGTAAACTTGAATTATTGAGGTCAACCTTAGGGTCTAAAGATTTTCGTTTGAGTAGATTTAAAATTGAATATATGAAGTGTAATTTTAGTAGTAATAAATCTAGTGGGGGGATTATGACTTTGGGAAATCATGTTATTAATAAGAGTACATATTTTAGATATATTAGGTCTATTGTTCAGAGTGATGGTGAAATAGATGGGGATATTATTAGTAGAATTCAAGTTGGATGGTTGAAGTGGAGGAATTCATCGGGCTTGTTGTCTCATACTTAAAGGGAAAATTTTATAAGATGGTGGTGAGACCTACAATGATTTATGGCGCAAAATATTGGCCATTAAAAATGAAGCATAGATGAGGATGCCAATTTGGATGAGTGGTTGTACTCTTAGAGACAATATACAAAACGAGCCTATATGTGAAAAGGTTGGAGTAGCTCTAATGACTGATAAGATTAGAGAGAGTCGCATTAGATGATTTGGTCACATAAAAAGGATGCCTTCCGATGACCTGATTAGAAGAGTAGATGTATGAGATTTGACTTATGTTAAGAAAGGTAGAGATAGATCTAAAAAGACTTGGTTAGAAAATATTAAAAATTACATTTCTTTATTGACTCTTATAATGACACAATGGAGAAAAAAGATTCATGTAGCCAACCCCACGTAGTGGTATAAATCTTAATATTGTTGTTGTTGTTATTCATCCGAAACAATCTGGCTTGCTAGATTTCTATTGTTGCTGCAACACATTTAACTTATGTTTATTACTTTAAAAGCGTCTACTCTTCAATTTGCTGGTTGAATATACCTAGGTTTTGAAATAACAAGAGCAGGTTGATTCTAATTCAGCTATCGTCAACTAGGTTTTTTTTTTTTTATAATAATTTGAAGATGGAAAAAAAGTTCTGTACAGTGAGGCTGTGGTGAAGTGAAATGGTTTGCTTTCACGATGATTATCAATATACTTGGTTGATGTTTATTGTCAGTCTCATGTCCAAGCTTATAATATCAGTTTTTAATGAATGTTTGATAAGCATTGTCTTTACCAATATATGATTAATTTTCATACAATACCATCATGCATTCCTAGTTATTATCAACATTTTTTTTTGTTTGGTAATGATAGACCGGTCCAGGAGGGATCGGTCCAGCCGGCCCAAAACAAAGGCCAGCCCCTTGTATACAACAGGCGGAAGCCTATTGTTTCCGCTCAGGTGGGGCCCGCGGCTTAAGGGGAGAGAGAGAGAGAGAGAGAGAGAGAGAATTTTGAATTTTGAATTTAGAAGGGTTGTTTTGTCTTTTGGGAATTGGGAGTTTAATTTGTATGCTTTATGTTGTAGGGTTGGATTGAGGTTAGAGTTATCTTGAGTTTTTTAAGTTTTTTTTGGTGCTTTGATGTTCTTGGTCTCTAGCGGCGCCTAGAGATTTTGGAGAGATAGATCATCCTCTCGAATTGAGGATCAATTGTATCTTGCTATTTTTCTTTCATCTACTATTCAATCATGAGTGTTTTCTTATTTTTCCCCCATTAAATCCTCAAAACCTGCTTGATGAGATTGCTAAAATTCTGATTTCAACAATCATTTTATGTTTCTTATACTATTTCCTATCAAATTAGTATCAGAGCATGGGATGAAGAGCTAAGGATGATTATGGCAGATTTACTAAAGGATAGGAATAACTATCATGGCTATTCTCTTGAAGGGAGACATTGCTATACCAGGGGAGATTTGTGATGCCTAAGACATCAGTCCATATTCCACACCTACTGCAGGAGTTCCATAGGAGTGCGGTTGGGGGTCACTCAGGGGTGCAGAAGACCTACAGGAGTCTGGCAGCAGAGTTGTATTAAAAATGGATGCACAAAGATGTGGAGGAGTTGGTAGCCAGTTGTAAGGCATGTCAGAGGAATAAGTTATGGCCATGGATCCAGGGGTATTACTTCAACCCATGGCTCTACTTGATTTGGTGTGGGAGGAGGTCTTCATGGATTTTATAGATGGTCTAACCCGATCTGAGTGGTTTATAGTGCGGAGTGTTCGAACTCGGGCTCGTTAAGCCTTCGAGCTCAAAATTGTGTTCGAACACGACTCGTGAGCTCGATAAGCTCGACTCGTCGAGCCCGTTAACGAGTCGAGCCCTAGTTGGCTCGCGAGCCGGCTTGACTCGGTTGCACCCCTAGTTTATAGTGATTCTGGTGATAGTAGACAGATTGAACAAGTATGCTCACTTCACCCCCCTATGACATCCCTACACGCTAGTGACAATGGTGACAACTTTCATCAGAGAGGTGGTCTGACTGCATGGGGTACCAGAGTCTACAGTGTCCGACAGGGGCAAAGTGTTTCTCAACCATTTGAGGGAGTTATTTAGGTTGCAGGGGACAATTCTGAAGAGGAGTACAACTTACATCCCAGACGAATGGGCAGACGAATGTGGTCAACATGATCATGGAGACATACCTATGATGTTTTGTATCAGAGACACCTCGGCTTTGGGCCAAGAGGCTAGCATGGACGGAGTACTAGTGCAACACTTCGTATCATTCCACTTCCCAATGACACCATTCAAGGTGTTGTAAGGAAGAGACCTATCTCACTTGGTGCATTTGGGTAGAATAGTACTCTAGTTTCTTCAGTAGAAAAATACTTGGAGGAGAGGGATAGGGTATTGGAAAAATTAAAAAGGCATTTATTGAGAGCTCAGCATATTACAAAGAAATGGACGGATGGGCATATGAAGGACATCTAGTTTGTAGTTGGGGATAGGGTGTTCTTGAAGCTTTGATCTTACAGATAGAGGATGGTAGACAGAAGGAATGAAAAGCTGGCTCCGCAATATTTTGGCCTTTATGAGATATCAGAGAAGATTGGAGCAGTAGATCATCGTTTGAGGTTACCTCCCACCACTACCATATATCCAGTGTTTCACGTATCTCAATTGAGAAGAGTTATTGGGGATCACTCATCTTGTTCAGAGTTGCCGGCCACACTGACTGAGAAATTAGAAGAGAACCACTAGAGCTACAAGGGGGGTACGCTAGGGAGAAGGAGGGATCAAAAAAGTGTTGATTATATAGTGGGACTTATCTATTATGATGCTACATGGGAGTCGTATGAGAGGATGAAACATCAATTCCCCTCTTTTCAGCTTGAAGAGAAGGTGATTCTTTGAGAGCAGGGTATTGATAGATCGGTCCACTGGCCCAAAACAAGGGCTGGCTCCTTTTGCCTGCTGTTTCCGCCTAGGTGGGGCCCGTGACTTAAGTAGAGAGAGAGAGAGAGAGAGAGAGAGAGAGAGAGAGAGAGAGAGAGATCCTACTCTTGAATTGAGGATTAATTGTATCTTGCTATTTTCTTTCATCTACTATTCAATCAAGAGTATTTTTCTTGTTTTTCTTCAATTAAATCCTCAAAACCTACTTGGCGAGAATGCTGAAATTGCTTTCTATTTCTACTACTATTTCCGATCAGATAGTAACAATAGTATTGCAGTTTATCTTCTTGTTAAATTGCTGCTGTTATTTTCCTGTAAGTTACGTATAGTAGTTGCTGTACCAAGTAAAGCTACTAGTTCTATTGAAGTGTTTCTTGATATTATTTTGTACTTCTATATAATGACATGCTGATAACTTTTTTTTATAGGTTACAATGTTTGCTTGCAGCCTTGCAAAACATCGAAAATCCTCAACATTAGAGCCCAAGGATCTGTTACTTCATTTAGGTTAGCAATCCAAACACCTAAGCTCAAACATTCAATACATATATGTATAGTTCTGTTTCCTAGTCCTGGATTTCTATAAAAAAATTGTTTTGCTAATTTTAATGTCCAAATCAAACATGTTCTTTTGTCTCCGCTATAGAGCTTATGCAGTTTTTGGCAAATAAATTATGACTAGTTTTAGCCTTCTATTTGCATTTTTGGGAGGATACAAACTTAATATTTCTTTTCTGTATTCCATGGTTATTGGAGGACAAAAATTGAACTTATTTTGGTGTTATGCACTCTAATGGGCGATGCAATAAGTCTGCGTAAGCTACTTAAACTTCTTCTATTGTTAATCTGATTGAGGGAGAATTTTTCTGCAGAGAAAAACTGGCATTTAACGATTCCAGGGTTTACAAGAGAAGAGCAGAAGAACCAAAAACATCTGGTAAGTAGGCCTTTACAAATTGTGGATTATTGCAATTGGTGTTGGATGCTCTTTTCTTTTGATAGACTCGTGCATCTTGTTGCCTGTACCCTAGATAGATGAACACACTAAACCCCATCCCTAACTTTAAGGATAAGTTCAGTTCTGGACTGCAGACTCACAGTAAAGGTCTTCATTTGGTCTTTGCATGAAAGGAGCATGTAAGCTGTTGCTATATGTATGTTGAATACAATGACCATTCTTCGGATAAATCCTATGAAATTTGAAGGCTTCAAACTTTGGTGCCATTGAACATTAAATATTAGTTAAATCACTTTTTAAATTTAAATTTCGTTTTATTTTTTGTGGATTTTGAAGTTTTCAAACTTCGGTTCTATGGAATATTACGTCTTTAGTTGAATCACTTGGAAGCGTAATTGCTTAAGATTTGTTAATTATAAAGAATGAAGTTTGAATGATGAGTATTAATACTCATAATCCATACCGAGAATAAATTTTATTTTGTTATAGTTCTGCTGCTTAGCCTTCTGCTTTTTTAATCTTGATGATTTTAATGTTTTCCATCAATGTTTACTATTTTTCTCAAAAGTTTAACAACGTTTAGCAAATGTATTCTTGGAGTTTGTTCATGAATAAAATTTTGAAGTTTATTGTGATTTAATGCATGTCTTATGGACTCGTTGAGTAAATCAATCAAACAATTTATTGCATAAATTTGAAATCCAATAGTTTCTTTCTCTACAAGATTACTTGTTCTCTTGGGTCTATGATATGCCGCCGGCCTAGGAGGACTGGACCGGCCCCGGTTTATTCCAAGCGGCGGAAAAACCAGGGAGAGGGGGGCGGAACTCCTATGGGCCCCATGATGGGCTTAATGTAATTTTTTGGGGGAAAGATTTGAATGTAAAGGGTGATTAGGTAATTTGTAATATTCATTTCATGATAATTAGGGGGAATAGGAGGGAATTAGGGTTATCTTGAATTTGAATAAGATTTGAGATCCAGGGTTTGCTTGTGTTGGGCTCTTGGCATTGCTGGAGATTAGGAGAGTTATTCCTTCCTCTCGAATTGAAGGAAATTATATCTTTGCTTGTTTTCTTGCATCTACTAGTGGAATACAAGAGATTTGCTTCGTTTTCTCTCAGATTTCTAGTAAATTTCTCTTGTTTTCCTCTATTTTGTGGTTGTTTCCTATCAAATTGGTATCAGAGCATCGATTTGGGACCGTTGGCGACTGGATTTCTGAAAATTCAGCGGTAGATTTGTCTCAATTGGAAGAAGATCTCTCAAGTTCTAAGAAGGAACTATGACAGGAAGAAAAGTTGAGGTCTTGGACGGGGAGCTAGGGCAATTGAAGACATATATCGAAGAGAAGATCTCATATTTTCAAAATCAGTTTTCATCAATCCATGAGAAGATGGATGAAAGATTTGCCACGCTAGAAGAATTAATGAAAACAATGATTGAAGAAAAGCAAAAACCGGCATCATCTGAAACCGTCGGCGACCATGGAAGGGGAGGAAACCCTAACCCGTTTAGGGGTAGGGAAAATTTGGAAGTGGAAGTTTTAGAGGGAAATGATGGGATGCCTACGCTAAAACCGCTTTCGAGGGAGGAGTTGAGTAGGGGATACGACAAACGGGAGGCTGATTTTGTCGGAAGAAGGGAAGAATTTCATCGCCGAGGCGCTGAATTTGAAAGAATCCAACGTCGAGGTGCTGATTTTGAAGGGGGGAGGGAGGAATTTCATCACCGAGGTGCTGAGTTCAAAAGAATTCAGCGTCGAGGGGCTGATTTTGAAGGAAGAAGGGAGGAACTTCATCGTCGAGGTGCTGAATTTGAAAGAATTCAGCGTCGAGGTGATGATTTTGTAGGAAGAAGGGGAGAGTATGAAGAGAGGTTCGAGTATAATCGTCGGAGGGATGATCAGGACACTTGGGGAGCTCTTCCCCATCGAGGAATGGGAGGTTATGGAGGATACCGGGGAAATGGAGAAGATCCAAAGGTGAGGAAGCTGAAGATGCCCATCTTCGAGGGTGAGGATGGCCATGGGTGGATTTATAAGGTGGAGCGATATTTTGCTGTCAATGGGCTGACGGAGAAGGAGAAATTGACAGCGTCGGGAATGTGCTTGGAGGGAAAAGTCTTAGCCTAGTATCAATGGCGTGATAGACGGGAGCCTATCCGGAGCTGACGGGAGTTCAATGAATGCTTATTAGAGCGTTTCCGAGCCGATGGGGGATGAGACTTCTATGAGCAATTCTTTGTCCTTACCCAGGAGGGCACGTTGACAGATTATTACCTGGACAAGTTTGAGTATCTGACTAGTAGGCTGGATCATATCTCGGAGTCAGCCCTGGAAGGGAATTTCATAAAGGGGCTGAAACCAGAGATAAGAACATCAGTCAGAGTGTTAGAGCCAAGGAATCTAGGCAAGGCCATGGAGTTGGCCCAGTTGGTGGAAGACTAGAAGAAGTCTGAAAGAGGGACTCGGGGAAACTATTCAGGGGGGTCATACAGGACGAAGATCACTTTCTTACCAGCAAAAGGGGCAGGCCCCAGAAGCATGAAGGAAGTACCCAAGGAGAAGATGGGAGGAGGAGGAAACGGTGAACAGTTAAAAAAGCTGACTGAGAAGGAGTTGCAGGAGAAAAGGGCAAAAGAGGTGTGCTTCAGGTGTGATGAGAAGTACATGCCGGGGCATATGTGCAAGGACCGATCTCTTCAGATTCTCCTAGTTTGTGAAGATGAGGAAGACGAAGAGGGAGGTGGGAGTGGCCCAGAGGTGGAGGAGGAGGAGAAGTTGCATCTGGACGTGACAGAAGTCTCTCTGAACTCAGTAGTGAGATTCACTTCGAGTCACACTATGAAGGTGAAAGGAGAGATCTCTGACCGTGAGGTTGTGGTGTTAATAGATAGTGGGACAACACAATTTCATTTCTACCCAGGTTGTTGATGCACTGGGAATGGAGCTGGTGGATAGGGAGGTTACGGGGTAATGATGGGCACCAGGAAGGTGGAGATGGGTAGAGGAGTAGTACTGAAAATTCAAGGGATCCATGTGAAGGAAGGCTTCATTCCCTTGGAATTGGGGAGTAAGGATGTCATCCTGGGGATGAAATGGTTGTAGACCTTGGGGGAGACCAAGATCAATTGGGGGATATTGAGGATGGAGCTGGTGATAGGGGGAAGAAGAAGGGTGATCGAAGGAGATGCTGGGCTGCCAAGGCTGGGGTGTCACTCAAATCCCTAATCCGGACCATCCAGGAGGAAGGGGGAGGCTACTTGGTGGAGTTACACCGATTGGAAGGGATCAGAATTGAGGAAGAATGCACTATTCTCTCCTCAGTACAACCTCTCGTACATCAGTTTAGCGAGATTTTCCAACCTCCGCAGGGTTTACCACCCCGGAGGGAGCTGGAGCATGCCATTACTTTGAAGGAAGGGGAGACACCGATCAGTGTCCGCCCTTACCGTTATCCATAGATTCAGAAGGATGAGATTGAGAAGTTGATCTGGGAGATGCTGGAGGCGGGGATTATCAGGCCAAGTGTTAGCCCTTTTTCTAGTCCAGTCCTCTTGGTCAAGAAAAAGGATGGGAGTTAGAGATTCTGTGTGGATTACATGCCTCTGAATAAGGGCATTGTACCAGACAAGTTTCCAATTTCGGTGATTGATGAGTTACTTGATGAGCTGCATGGGGTTGTGTTGTTCTTTAAGCTGGATTTAAAATCTCATTACTTTCTAATCCTTGATGAACAGAATATTCAAGCAGTACCTCAAGAAGTTCGTCCTGGTCTTCTTTGATGACATTTTGGTGTATAACAAAACTGTAGGGGAACATTTGGAACACTTGAGGGTGGTTCTGGAAGTCCTACATGAGCACCAGTTAAAGGCTAATTTGAAGAAGTGCAGTTTTGCCCAGACAAGTGTGGAGTACTTGGGACATGTGGTGTCCCAAGGAGTGGCGGCAGATCTGAGTAAACTTGAGGCAATGCAGAAGTGGCCAAGGCTTAGGAATATAAGAGAGTTGAGGGGTTTCCTAGGTTTGACTGGGTACTACCGGCGATTCTTGAAGGGGTACAGCTCCATTGCCTGGCCATTGACTGAGTATAGACCTGTCAATATTGGACCCGACCTGAAAACCCGACCCGAACCCGAAGCGGGTCGGGATCGGGTCCGGAAAATCGACCCGTTTGATAAATCGGGTCGGGTTCGGGTTGACCCGAAAACCTAGGAATGACCTGAATCGACCCGAAATAACACATAAACCCGGCTACCGGCCCCGCGTCGCGCAGTCGAGCGAGCACCACGTCGCGCGCCACCCCGCTGCCACGCAGTCGAGCGCTTCCCGCCCTGCCCCACGTCGTGCAGTTGACCACCTGCCCCGTTGCTGCGGGCCCACGCGTTACCGCTGCCCAGTGCCTGCGTCGATCGCTCGAGCGACCGAGCCGTCGAGCGCGCCCTGCATCGCTCACTCGCGCCCACGGTGCCCCGCTGTCGCGTACGACCGCGACCTGAAATTGGGGGTCGTTCACTCGAGATGCCGCGCACGACCACGACCGAGCTCTGCGTCGCTCACTCGCGATCGCGGCTGAAACAAGTGGGGTCGGGTTGACCCGAACCCGAAGCGAGTCGAGTTGACCCGAAGCGGGTCGGGTTCGGGTCCAGAAAATTGACTCGGTTGCAAAAATGGGTCGGGTCGACCCGAACCCGAATAGTGTCGGGTCAATTTCGGGTTTGACCCGAACCCGACCCATGACCCGAAATTGACACTCCTGAGCAACGGAAGAAGGATAACTTTTTATGGGGAGAAGCAACGACCCAGGCTTTCCAGAAGCTGAAGGAAGCCACGACTACAGTTCCGGATTTCAACCAGGTCTTTGTAGTAGAGACAGATGCGTCAGGATATGGGCTAGGGGCAGTGCTGATGCAGAATTATAGGTCGATATCATACTTAAGTCAAGTGCTTTCAGCCAGAGTTAGATTGAAGTCAGTAT